AAGGTGTGATCAGGAAATAGAGCAGAACTGCAATTAGCATCTGTCGTATGTTTAAGTCTGATCCGTTAGTCCTTAATGAAGGTCTCTGGATGAGTGAAGAGAAGCACGTTATCCTCAAAGCGGTATCCATGAATGATAAGAATGCTGAACGTGCCAGCACCCAGCACAGGTCCTGCAGCACCATGGGAAAACAGCGCAGGCTTTGTCCTAGTCCTCGGGGCTGCCGCTGCCTCTGCACAGGACCCACTGGAGTCGTCACAGCTAAATGCAGCAGGAGCAGGCTCAGCCCCTAATGCATCACAGTAAAGCTCGATTACACAGCCTTATTTAGTTGGATTCAAAGAAAGTTTACCCAGGCATTTATTTACAGCAATAGAAGGGCTCATCGTGTCTTATGATAAACTACTGCCTGAAGCCCATTCCCATCCGTAATTGTTAGCACAGCTGATTATTGTCCCTGGGTTAAAGGAATCGCTTGTTATTCTGGGCTCCACTTCATGACTCAGCTCCTGAGAGCTATTTCGAGTGGCAGAGGGGAGAAGCTGCCAGGCTGGCATCCCTTTCTGTTTTCTTTGTGGAAATAGGATGTGGCTTTGCACGACAGGCGTTCATGCTCTGCGATCTGTGTGAAGGGATTACACGGACTGAAGCCATAATCGTATGTTCTGATATTGTTGATGTATTATAAATGGTCCATTATTCATCCGCATGAGGAAAGCCAGAGGAATGGAAAATTAAAATGTGAAACTAGTGAGCGCAAAAAAGCGATCAAGTGATTCAATCTGTGTGGAAAATGGGCCTCACTTGGTGTAGGTCTGTAGTTCTGTAGAATTAAGTACAACTACAGGGACTAATAATTTAGCTCAATAACAACAATATTTGTCTTTCAGTCATGAAAAATGCATGAGTGAAAATGGCACATGCACCCTGGGTGAGACTTTGTTCACTGAATCTGTTTCCCAGGTGCCTTTCAGCTCGCACTGAAGGCAGAGGAAGGTGCAATTATCTTCTCCCCCCATGAACGTGGGGATAAGGTGGCAGAGCAGATTTTGCATAACATGTAAAAACAACCACCTAACAAGCCAACCAGATTTGATTTGACTGTCTTGTGTTCCCTCCTCCTCTCATCTTCAGTTACGCTGGGTTCAGGGGGTTTCTCATTCACTCTCTTTTCTGAGTCCTTCTCATTGGAGGGGTTCAGTAAGGAACATGAGCTGCAGGAGAGACCTGGAGGGACTGAGCACCTCGCATCGGGTGCTTACTGTTTCCAGCATCACCCCCTCAGAGACAGCTTTCTGCTCTCTTGCTTTCAGCATTTTCAGATCCAAGACTAATTCTGGAAACACATCTGTAATGCTGTGGTCTAGAACTATTCTTTCCCTGCTTTAGACTATTTCTATAGTCCATTTTGCCAAAGGTTCACAGCAGAAAGGCTGCAGGTTGTCTTTCCCAAGTATTCTCTCACTCCCTGCTAAAAAGGTTTTTTCATCCCTCTGCTGAACAGTGAAATTTCAACAGGGAAAAGCAAATGAAACACGGTTCATATTCAGATATAAATTTTTCACTCGAAGAGAAGTGGATTTTCTCCTCTGGGGAAAATAATTAATTTCCTTTCCTGGATTTTGAACTTTATTCCTTCCTAAAAGATCCTTCAGTGAAGAATGAAGGACCCATTAACCATTTCCATTTCCAAACTGATCATGAACCACAGAAAACCAGAAGCCCTTGGAGGTAATGGGAAGTCCCCAAGCAACAACCTGAAACTTTAAAACTGGCAAAGGAATGAAGGAGTGAAACATCCCAAATGCCCAATTAGTCAGTTTTATTATCATATCGTGTGTGGTCTCTGTGAAAATCTAGCCACATCTCACAAACTCTGAGACCATCAAAAAGATGTTGCATGTGCACAACCCATAATGAAGTTATTAGAAACCCATGAGGAGGTTTCTAATGTGAGTCATGCTATCTAGGAAGATAAGAGACAGGGCAGTCAATTCACTTTTAAACAGCACTGTGAGCCTAGTGCAAAATCAGCAAATCTGTACGACCATGGATATCATAGACAAGTTTGAACAATGTTTTATTTACAGCCTCACAAATTCTTAAATCTCAACCAAGCTGCAAATCTAACTCCCTGCACTGATTTGGGAGAAGGAGGAAGAGTGCAGATGCCAGCAACAGCTTTGAAGATTTATTTGCACTCTGGAGCACCCACCTAGCTGTCCAGTAAATTTGGAGACAGGAAGACCAAGAGTTGTGAGACAGAGGAGCAAGGGCACAGATGAATTGGTCCTGGGTGAAGAGAAGCCTTGATGAGACCTTAAAAGACAGCTTATAAGAGAGATTAGTTTCAGATACAGCACTAATCTTTCATTTTCTTAGTTTACACTTTTTTAATCTGGGGGAGCTTTTGGCTTTTAAAAAGGGAACAAGTTGTAACAGAGCAGCACTGCAGAACAGCCCTTGGGGTGCCTACAAACCAGAACAGCTTTGGGAATGAGCAGCTCAAGGCCCACAGTCATCAGCCAGTGATCTGCAAAAAAGGAAAAAGTTATCCTGCCAGATGTTACCTAGAGCCTTACCAGCAAGACCGCCCCTGAATTTTAAGAAACAGTCACTTTATGAAGACCAGACTGACCAGGCAATAGGCAGAGCAGGAGAACAGTGCCAGACCCCGGATGGCGAGACCACTGGGTATGCAATCCTGATAAAGCCAACATGAGACAGACAGGAGCCTGAAGCAGTCCTTCCTTCCTCATCACTGCAAGATTTTCTTAGCTACCTAACTTAAGTTCAGTGGCCCTGTTTGTTCCTCCTTAAAACTCCTCTGTTTCTGGAAAGAACATGTCCCTGTTGGGAACAGCCATCTCTTGGGGCAGGAGAGGTTGGCAGAACATCAGCCCCTGCCTGGGACCAATTCTTCAGATTGTAGAGCTGGAGAAAGAAGACAGCAGACAAAAACCATGGCAGGTATTACTGCAATACCTGCTGGAGGGATTAGGCTGAGGTAGAGGTTGGACCTAGTCGAGGTTTGGCCAAGGAGAGCACATCTTCACCTGAACTGAACAAGGAGCATGATGGAAACCTCCTGAGCTCCTGAAGACAGATGCCAGCAGTGAAGAAGAAGATGGAATCTGTTGGGTGGAGCAAGGAGGAAGGGAGTTTTGGAGAGACAGGTCTGGTGGGAGACAGTCCTCTCAGATGTGTAGCTAGGATTTGCCCCTTGTGCATTTTCTGCCCATCACAACTGCATTTCACAAATCCTCTAGCACACAAGTTCATAGGGAAGAGCCTAGAGGAAGGCTTTGAGCATTTATTAATAGTAGATGTAGAAACTAGAAGGTAAGACTTCTCTAGCCAGGGTGTCTCCAATGATGGGAAAACAACACAACTCTCATTTTAGACCCCAAATGCTCACAGCAAAAGTTAAGAAAGACCAATATATATAGGACCCACAGCTGGAGATTTCAAAACTATTGTTATTTCCCTGGAAAGCCTGCAAATCTCTGGATGCTCAGCAAATAATCTTCAGTTATAAAAGATTTAAGCTTTTAGTGACACCTTGCCAGCAGAAAGAAAGGTGGTGCATATAAAAAAATATTGTTTTTAATTTTGGCTGCACCTGTTGACCCTGACCTGGTGGCAGATGGAACATGTTACATGTTTCATAATGCATAAATACTGTCCCACTCCACGCAGGACAGACTCAGGACTTCCCATAGCATGATATACTGAAAGTCCACCCTTTCTCCTATACTTACTGGCATCTAACAAGGCAACTAAAAGCTGACTTAAAAGCCATTGCTCCTTCCTGGGGGTCCCACAGCCTTTGTGTATTTTTGTCTTTAATTTTAATCAACACCATTATCTATTTAATCTGAAAATAGGGTTATCCCCCAGGTTTAGGGACATCCATGAATCTGCACATCTCATCAGTGATCACAAGCAATGAAGGACAAGAACAGTTGGTAGAAATAAGGTTGTTGTTACAGGCTTTTGCACCAAGTCACACCTTCCCCCTAATCTCTAGGTTGAGAAATCTGTTCATACTCTAAGTGTGGAGAGGTGTCAGACTGTTTACTGAGAGCCAGCGTGGGTAGACGCCTGGCTTAGGACTTTTCCATGATCCTTTGAAGTATCCATACAAGATGGAACAGCAAGAATTACTATAAAATTGACACCCTCAAGCAAAGACAGACTTTTATTCTGAAAAAAAACTACTTAATTCCAATCTGCTGCTGTGTAATGTATATGCCAGAGGGACAAAATATGGTGTAAAATAAGATCTCAGCAAGCTGAGATCCAGCTTACATACTTGGCCTGTTTAATCCAAGGATGAAAATAATTACACAAAGTCAGTCTAAGCAATCCCAGAAGGATTGAACATACGAAATATAGTCATTGCGAGAAGCGGAAGGAAGGGAGAGCTACACCAGTTTGAGTTCCCCTTGGCTTTCTTAGACCCCTGTGTGAATTTGGCCCAGAAAACTCTGGCATTGGGGACGGTGATCATTCATCCCTACTATTTGCACAAGAATGTGGGAAGGGCTTAGAAAAGCTCCTCTTCTCCCATCTGGGGGCCTGGGTGGGTGCCAGTTAAGTTCAGTGATTCATAACCATTTCAAGAAGCTCATTGCCACTCTATATTTTGCAGGCATTTGTAAAGAAAGCAAATATACATGCCTCGGCAGCACGTAGGTTGCTCTGACAGAATAGGGGTTATCCTACTTTCCTCTGTTTTTCAAGACAGCAATATCAGGAGAAGGGAAATAAAACCAGTTTATCCCCTTTGCCCACATCCAGCAAGATTTTCAAACGCCAGCAGCTGGGGAAAAGAGAGAGAAGAGGCCTAACACACAGGTAGAAGCTCTTGATGCGGTACGTGCTCAGAGAAGCAAGAAACTGCATCTTTCTGAGGGCACCAGCCGCCCCTCTTCCTGCGCATCCGCAGCAGCGACGGCAAGGCAAGGAGAGGTGTGCTGCGGGGAGCGAGCTCCTACCTGGAAGCCGTGGGCAGGTCTCGGTCTCGGTGTCCCGGCTGTCAGCTGTCCCCGCCGTGGTCACTGAGGTGCTTTGGGTCATTCACGGGCCCAGGTCCCAGGGTGGGGCGGACGGGGCGGCTTTGGCTCCAGACCCCGCCTCGCATCATGTGAGCCCTTCACAGCAAGGTCTTCCCAGAGGCAACTCCCTTCACCCATGTGTCTGTACGCAAGCCTTCACGAGCTTCTCTGCGTGTTGAACGGCAAATTGCAGCCAGTCTGCCTTGCCTTTGAACGCCTGCCAAGACTTTGTTTGTTTTCTCTTCTGTTTCAAACATTCTTTGTGTCTTTCTGGCTCAGTTAATTAGCTACGATACTCAGCTTCTCCAGTTTTTGACAGCTGCCCAAATAATAGCTGATCAGAAGTGGAGACACTTTCAAGCCTAAGCTGTAGCTGTGCTGAAAAATGAAGGTGCTACTCTGCCTATGGCAGATTCATCCAGCTGGTGCACATAACAACATCAGAGACGACATGGTGGCTTGTGGTTAATGACCATGGTAGATAGGATTCATGCCTTGGTTTCTGCAAGTCCTGGCACGGATCACTGAATTAAGGTAATAGTGAGGTTGCAGGAGGGGTGGCTGGGAGATAAGGAGAGGATGAGACTGCAAACTCATTAGCTGCAAGGGAACATCTCCAGGTGGTCCTCAGGAGCCAGAAAGGGTGGGAGGCCTGAGCAAGAGGCACCTGGGGAATAGGAGGAACTGCTCTGACACTGCTCAGGAGGAGAGGTGAGGAGAAAGACAAAAAGGTCGTGCATAACCAAGATCAGGAAGAAAAGTGGCCTCAGATATTTGGAGCAGTTCTATCAGATGGACCCTCAAACTGTATTTTAGAGGTCTGTCTGTGGTGGGCCATTCTTACAACCCCGTGATGATGCTTATCTTTACTCATCCCAAGGCAGTCTGTCCAGGGGTTAAAACTGAAGTTTTCAGTCATGTGGCAGGCTGTTGTAATCCATCTCTATTACATAACCCAGCAAATATTTTGCTAAAGTTCAGTTAAATTGTAGGATTCATAGTGGTGAGGAACATATTCTCCTTTATGAATTTTTCCCCTTTGGAAATCACGGTAGTGACACGCAAATGGCAGCTTTTCCTCTGCTTGCCTAATTCAGTGGCCAACCAAAGACACTGTGCTCCCCCTCATACCAATCATGTTCAGCTTATTGAGGAAGAGGTTAACATTTCTCCTTTCCCTACTCCCTCCTGCTGTGGCACAGGGCAGAGATCAGGTTGTAAGAGACAAGCATGGCACAAGTCAAGCAAAGAACTGGAAACAGGGTAGGGAGGAGGTAAGTTATCCTTAGACCAAACTAGGTGGAGCCCAACCATTCTTGTGCTGTTTTGCTAAGGTCATTCTGGATTAATAGAGGACACAGAGGGGAAGGGAGGAAGACAGGAAAAGTCTTGTTATTTAGCTTCTCCCTGAGACTGTTTATAGGTTGCTTGACATAACTTCATGATCATTCATGGCAAAACTTTCCTAGGCTATTTTCTTCTTCCTCCTCCCTTTAATGCTACTGATGCCTTTCTGGTGATGCAGGATTTGCATGGCTCTCCAGGTCTCATATTTTGTCCTGCTCCTCCTCATCTGTGTGGGGACTGAAGCCCAGCCCTGCTTCTCCCTTCTAATCAGGTTGTTGGCCCTTCTCTGTAATACAGAGAACAGCTGTTAAAGGCTCAGAAACTCTGATCGTTGGGCCAGATCACCAACTGCCCTGTACTTCACAACAGCTTGAGATCCAGCTCCTTCACACTTTGCTGCTGAGGCTCACCTTTTTTCCACACGTTCTGTTTTAATCCTTTTTGTTTTCCTAATTGTTGCTTTAACCCCCATTTACTAAAGCTTTTTGTGGTCCAACTACCTCTTCCAGTTACACTAGTGAGAATCCAGAGTAAATCTGCTGGTGTAACTGGGATTATAAGATATGAGATGACTGTATGTTCCATCAGCTAGATCCAAAACCAATGTTACCATCGTCAGCATCTTTTTCACTGTTGTTCCCAATATCAAAGAGAGACTGTAGTCTGGGAATGATGATACTAATCATCAAACTTGGAGTTAAGTTGCATAATTTGCCTACTTCAACCTTCTCCAGATGCTTTTCAGCCATTAATTAAATATAGGAACCCAATAAAGACAAGGGTAATCATTTTCAGGGTGAGGCACTAAGAAGGCAGCAATGTTCTCAAAGGCTTTGTGGTGAAATCCCCCACTGATTTTATTAGCTCACAGTCAGTAATAGGAGTCAACAGAAGAGTCTCCATCCTTGTCCCTGTCCTCCCAGAATATTGATCCCACTGGGAAAATGGGTGTCACAGAAGTGTTGAGGCCTTTCCATGGCACAGTTGTATCAAATTTGGGGTTGGTGGAGGAATCCTTTCTTGTTTTTTCATTAAATAGTGGCAGAGGAGACTTGAATATGGATGTCTGGGACAAACCACCCCAGATCGCATTGGCTTCACTGGGCGCTATCACATTTCCTCTTCCAGCCCATGGCAGCAGCCTTCCTGGTCCCTCAGGAGTCTGGGGTGGATTTACCCCTTTCATGCTACTACTGAGTCCCAAAGGGATTTACGGATGTTGATTATCAGTCCAAGATGAGCACTGCTTTGGTACTGCCAGACCTCAAAAACAAAAGTATGGGGAACCTGATCTGTTCCGTATTCATCCACGTTCACAGCACCTCTCCTGAACGTGTAGTGCTACAGTAGCTTAGAACATTCTGCTTTGTGCTGTGTCTCGTGAACTTTAAAAAAAATAGAGCGAGTCTGGAAAACTTCCCAGATTATGCAGTGCCTCTGCCTTTTGTGCCCTAAGAAAAGGGTGAAGGAGATAGGGCTGTTTCCTGTTCTTGGTGCATAGGTGTGCGTCCTGCTCTCACACTGGGCTAATCTGCTGCTCCATCCCATCTGTGTTTCATTAGAAAAAGTTTGTGTTGAGGTGAAATGCAAAGCCCTGTGGCAGTGGAGGACAGATGAAGCAGCTTCTCTTTGTGTCGCCTACATATTCTATGAACACAACATTAAATGGACGTAAAAGAGTGCATGATATAACTTACAGTTAATTTACCAGTATAAATTTAATAATATTTTTTTCCATAGTGATTTTGACAACTAGGCAGATTTTTTTTCAGCCTGTTCTGACAGAGGAGCTCACACTGATAGAAATCTAATGGTGCAATTGTCCTAAAGAAAACCATGCAGGCACAGCCAGGACTAATTACTCTAACCTCAGACCTGGCTGCTGTCTGCATGGCGAGGCTCTGTGCAGGCACATGGGCTAGAAGGGCCAGCAGAGGAACAACTAATGGTGGAACAGGAATGAAAGATTATACTTGTGCAACCCTTAGGGCCCCAAAGATATTTCAACACAAAACAAAGACGTTACACCAATAAGTTTTGGTATATAGATACTACTGTTTGCTATTAGTATCTACTACTAGTAAGCACATGGGGTTAAGCCTAGAAAAATCAGGATCTCGTAGGCATTTTCAAACTCATCTGTGTCTCGTAACTGAATAGTTATGTAATTGTCTGTGTTGACATAAAGGCAGGGATGTATCCTTGAAAGACGGCTATTCCTTTGGTGTTTGATAGATTAGTGGCCTCATTTCCTGGCTCTAGCATGGGCCAGCCAGGGTGGAGGAAGCTCCCTGGTGCAGAAGACTATCTGCCTTTTCTTTGACAGCAACACTGCCCGTAGGAGCTGCTCATTATCCCCTCTCCTGCGTCTCCTCACTGCCACATCATCCCCAAAGACTCACTCGAAGTCAGACCAGGATGAACGTAACCTTCCTGTAACCCCATTGCCAACCAAAACCCCATGGGGATATCTCACTGCTAAATAATGCAGCCCCGAGCATCCCACAGATGCAGGTTACCTGTGGCAGCCGCGCTGGCAGACCCTACGGGAAGGACGTGGTGGGGAGGGGACTGTGCTGGGGACGAGGGTGCACGGCACTGTGCTCCCGAGAAACGCAAGGTCCATCTGCAGGGGACACCGGCTCTGAGCAACCGTGTGTGCTGAAAGCTTGGATCCAGGCTTATTTTGCAGCCGCTCCCCTGTATGGACAAGCCCAGCCTGGCTGTTTGTTTGACTGTTTGTCTTGGCAGCAAGTCCCCACATGGAACCGAGGGTGTCATTTATCTCCAGCAGCAGCAGCCCTCACCAGAGCGAGTAGCAATAGCAGCAGCCCCGGAGGCCCTCGCTGGCGGGGGCTCTCCCTGGCCTTTGCTTTGCATTCCTCCACCTCTTGCACAGTAATAAGGGCCCTGAAAAAGAGGCTGTTGCAGCCAGAGTGCCTTGGACAGAAACAGATGGCACACAAACCACTGGGCAAATGCATCACAAATACAAATTGCTCAGGGAGGAGTGCTCTACCAAAGCTGACTTGAGGTCTCTGTTAATTCTTCCTCCTCCTTGAAGTTTTGAAATGCAGCAGTAAAGAAAAATCAACATTTTTCAGCTGGTTTTAGTTTGCTTCTAGGGTATGTCCATTCCTCGCATGAATCAGAAACTGTGGCAAACTCAATGTGCTATGCCTCTAACGGGTACATACCATCCTCATTTCTTGCAGTTAGATGGAGAACAGCAACACACTTTATTGCACAGTGGATGGACAAAGAAATCCTTGTTGCCTGTGGGACCCTGTCATGCTGATGTTTCTTTTCCACTCGGTGTTCATATGTCACCAAAGGGCCCATGCGTACCCATTGGAAATAGAAGTGTGAAACTAATAACCAAAAATAAAAACTCTGGAGGGAGGGAGAACGGAATGAAGCCAGAGGGATGCAATTTACTGAGCCTGATTCACAGTGCTGGCAGGGAGCTCTCTGCCAGAGCCAGATGAATCAGATTCCCTTTCAGTCTGTGCTGGCACCACAGATATTTTGGTGTCACCATGGGTAGAACAAGCGTATATTTGGGAAGCATTACTGAGCAGACAGTGAGTGTCTGCTGAAACTGAAACGGCTTGTGTCATTTTAACGTTATACTCACTGAAAGAACTAGAAGAAGGGAAAACGAAATATGCTGGCATGTCAGGTCAGAGCCTCTCCTGAGAGTCAGGGAGGGTGTTCCTCATCCGAGCTGGGAGTCTGGCT